TGAAGAAGGCTGGGTGGGTCCCAGAGCCGGTGTGAACGTAGTGGAGAAGAGAAAAAAGGCCCCCTGGAGGGAATCGAACATCGGCAGTCCAGCCCATAGCCCACCGCCATACCGATTGAGCTATATTGATATATGGAGGAAGGCGGGGTTCGATTATCCGCATGGGGGAAGAAACAGTCTTCTTCACAGCGTGCAGACTGGCTCTGTGGCCCACCCATCCTTCTGTCCAGTGGGTTCTGGGCGGGGAGGGGTAGGTCCTTGGGGTGAAGAGGCCGAAGCGTGGAGATAGCCACTCACCTCCATCTATTGCAAGATCAAGAGTGTTGGCGCTATGCCTTCATTCCTGAAGTACCACTTCATGAAATAGTGTTTAATTGATTAAGTACAGAAGTAAATATGGAAGCTAACACCAACTCTATTACGCGTTATCTCTGTGGTCTAGTGGTCAGAGTTCCTGCCTACATATCCAGAGATCCCTGGTTCGATTCCCGACGCTACAAGATTTTATGAGTTGTAGTGGGTCTGGAACGGGGTCCACTCCGCCTCGTGAGGATAACTAAGGAGCTATTTCAAGGAAATAGCAGCTCCGATCTAGAAAACTGATATTAAGGACCATGGGGTTCCTTTGCGCTGATCACGTGACTCCCTCTATCGGCTAAATTTGGCACTAACTTCGCCGACAAGCGGCGGTCGCTCGGTCAGTATAGTTCACTTGCTGACTCAAGCCACGGAGTTCCTTTTTTGTATTCCTGAATGTAGTCACATTAATTCAAAGTTTTATGAATTGTATTTTATTTCCATTCATTCAGCGACACCGACGGACAGTCACCGCCCCCCCGACGAAACGGACAGCGGCCCTGAACATGGGTCAGGAGAGACTGCGCAGAAAGCTGGGCCCGAAAGAAAATACTGGTCTCGAATTCTCGGCAAAAGTATGTGCTTCTCTATTTAAATTACTGTTGCATAAATAGCCGTGTGAATCTAAATTATTGTTGGTGTACCCGTTTGTATCTCACGGAAACCCCGACAATAATTTCGAATCATGCGGTCATTTCCGCAATTTCCGTTATTCTGTTTTTACTGTTCTTTTTCTCCATATCATAATTTTTTTTTCCATCTGCCCACCCTCGTAAATCATACTTTTATGCGTATGTGTGCTTTAGTCACTAGCAAATTGATTCTGTAAAATAATTTTTGATCTCTTCTTTGCAAGTAGAAAGTAGCTTGCAGTAACCGCCGAACACCCAACAGGATAAGAACTAAAAGGTAAGGTAGGCCCTGTGCTTCACTAATTAAGCACCACGCCATGAAGACGTATGGGGAGTAGAGGTGTAACTCCATCTTTCTTGGGCTCGGACCATGATGGGGGTGAGTGATCAGCTTCACGTCCAGGCCACTTTACCCTCAGACAGAGCCCCTGGAACCCACTTGATAGGAGGTTGGGTCCATTTGCAAAAAACTGAAGGGACACTGTATTATCCTTCCGGAAACCCCGACAATAATTTAGAATTACTCTGCATACAAAATACATGTTACAAGGGTACCGTAATTCCAAATTATTGTTGGGGTTTCCGCAGTGATTTACGAATTATCCCATATATAACACAAGCCCCAGTTTCCGTACCCCTCACTCTAGTGGGTACAATAATTCATATTGATTCCTCCTTATAGAATATGAGGTTCTCACAGCCGTGGTTAAGAAGAGTTATATCTTCTAGGATTAAACGCCGTGCAAGCCGTTGAAAGTCAACCGATGTTTCGGACTAATATGTCAGATCCATCATCAGTATAGAAGAGTGAACGAAATAAAGAAACCAGCGTTAAAGCCTCAAGACTTACCACATGCTTTCACACTGGTTTCTTTTCCGGCTTATTGTTTGTTCCTGAAGATGAAGACATGTTCCTCTGAAACGTCGGTTTTATTTAAATGGTACTATACGGCGTTATATCCCAGACAGTAGAACACTTTGTCCCTTGTCACCCTCTAAGAATCTAGCCACTTGTGATAACGTCGTTATACAAATCGTTAAAAAAGTATGCATTATGATTTGACATTTTGCCTGTGGTCTGTATGGGTGTGAAACTTGGTCTCTGACATTAAGGGAGGAACATAGACTGAGGGAGTTTGAGAACAGGGTGTTGAGGAGAATATTTGGACCGGAGAGGGATGAAGTGACAGGAGGTTGGAGAAAACTGCATAATGAGGAGCTTCATAATTTGTACTCTTCTCCAAGTATAATTAGAATGATCAAGTCAAGGAGGATGAGGTGGGCAGGTCATGTAGAACAAATGGGGGAGAAGAGGAATGCATATCGGATTTTGGTGGGAAATCCAGAAGGAAAGAGACCAGGATGAAGACCAAGACAGTAGGTGGGTGGATAATATTAAAATGGACCTTAGATAGGATGCGTTCGTAAGGACCGGATTAATCTGGCCCAGGATAGAGACTAGTGGAGGGCCCTTGCGATCAGAATTATGAACTTTCGGATTGCATAAATTGCTGAGAAGTTCTTGAGTAGCTGCACAACTGACCGATTCTCAAGAAGGGCTCAGCTCCATGGAGTTAGTTAAGGGCTGGAACTCTGACCTCAGTGACCCTGGAGGTCCTGTATTTGAAGGTTGGACGTAAGGCTATGATTGTCTGTTCAGACCGCTTCTCACCCATGTTTCAGCTGACTACACTCTTTGTTTACTTACCATTACTCAGCGTTACAATTTGAATGCCGATAAAATTAGTGGCAATAACAGGAGGTGAAACAGGTCACAGCCAACTGACCAACTTAGTATTTCTCAACCTTTTGAAGCCTAAGGACCAGTAAAATGTCTGAGGAAATTCTACGGAACACTAAGTTATTTGGGCCAATTCTTTTTATACTTATGTAGTATTACAAATTTTGGGACATACTGTGCCAATTATATCATAATAAATTTAAAGCTTGGTTTGAGTACATATAGAAACAATTAATTACATTTGAAGTAAAAGTGGATAATCTCTGAACAAATTTTTAATCTTTATTTAACAAATAAGGAATATGATATAATTATTTCACTAATTACTTTTAATGAGATTGTTGAGCTTGTGGGCCCTTAAAGAGTTCCTGGATATCTGGCTCAACAGTGGTTAACTTGATTCTAAAATCGTCACTCACACTAAGACAACTTCGATGTTTTGTTTTCATTTGAAGGAACTATGAAAATCCTTTCTCACAAAGTTAGGCTGTTGAAAACTCCGTGACGATTTTCAATGCTGCGTCAGATAATTCGGGAAATTCACATCTCACTGAGGGCGCGATCCAGAATCGGACGAAACCAAGATCGCGGAATTGCATTTTGAACCCACTGTCACTTGAAAGCTCAATTATCTGCCCTTTTTTCGATGACGGAAGGTCTCTCTCGTGATTATAAGTCTGAAATGGATCGCGAACCCACAGAAATTACTCACAAAAGTTATCCGGGAAAGATGTATCAAGTTTCTGTTTCGCACTATTGAGGTGGTCACAAACTCAAAATCAATAGAAATATAATTTCATACTAAAAAGGATCCCAAAGCTGGAAAAGGTGCAGATTTTCTGTCTTTTACATAACTAAACACCAGTTTCTTCTCGAATGCCTTTGTTTTGCTGTAGGCATCAAGAACAGTAAAAGAATTTCACTGAAGAGAGAGATTTAGTTCATTTAATTTAGCAAAAACATCTCAAAAGTTTGATAGTGGTAATAACCAAGCTTCGTCAAGAAGGGGTGATGGAAAATCAGAATCGCGTTCCTTTAGAAACAATAAAACTTAGTGCCCTAAATAAGCTTGTCAGTACTCTGCCCCTGTAAAGCCAGCGAATTTCAGAATGAAGCAATAGTTGTGTATATTCACCGCCCAGTTCATCGCAGAGTACGTAAAATAACCTGTTATTTAACGGTCGAGCCTTAATAAGATTAACTAGCTTTACAGTTCTACACTCTGGTGGTTGCATTCCTTTGGAGACCAAAGCTTCCCTATGTATGAAACAATGTACCCAATTCATATCCGGAGCTACTTCACCTTAGAAACAACCCCACTATGCCTGCCTCTAAGAGTGCGAGCTCCATCCGAACAGAAGCCCACACATTTTTCCCACTGGATCCCCTTGTCACATGTAATTATCGAGAGTATGAAATATTTCTTCTCCAGTTGTTCGGGTTGACAAAGTTCCAGAGAACAGAATATCATCATGGATGTTATTACCATGCGCATATCTTCAGTGATTCAGTATTGAGGGGGTGGATTTCCCCATGCACCGCGACTTTTTGATAGTCTATTGTACGTCCCCCTTTTAATTTCTACAGTCTCCATCCCCTACCGGTACTGGTGCTCGCTATTAGTCCCTTTCTGTCAGCGAGGTCGTCCCTCCTCTGGCAGTGGTACCTAATACTTCCCCATCTACCGGAGGCATTGGAAACTACTTGGGCGGGAAATTGCCTAAATTTAGCTCAGAGGTCTCCTAGAGACATGAGGTTCTTTTACGTGCCGTAAATCTACGACACGGGGCACACGGCTTAAAGTCCCTCCCGGAGGACTTGTTCCCTGAATTTTTCCGCCCTTAAAAATTCCACGACCTCCGCCGGGTTTTTGAACCCGCGTACCTTGAGTCATGAGGCGGGAACGTTACCCCTAGACTACGGAGGCCGCTATGCGCATCTCTTGCGTAGCATGTTAACTGCGCATCATTTGCAACGTCAGTAGTCAGGCCCATTTGTAACGCATAATAAGTCTTCTTAACTCTTTCGAATAACCGAGATTCTACATTTCCTGCCATATCGTTAATTCTGCGACCGACAGTGTCGTTTTAAAGAGGAATCCAATCAGCATCTTTTAGTAACCTGTTGTCAAAAATAATGTTACATCTTTTGCAGCTGGAAGAAGCAAATTTTCCCCGATAGATTAAGGTTTCCCTGTTTTAGCTATGCGCATGCTTAAGAGGTAGGATGCTTCCAGTGCCTTGTTATTAATCGAACCCATGACCGAAACTATATTTTTCCCATGATTTCATATCCCTAAGCGTCGCTGAAAAAAAAAACAATTGCTTTATTTTTCACATCACAGTGTTTAGTTTCTAATGTCGTCGGAGTTTCGCAGGCTTCATAAACTCGGCAACACTTCATAACACAAAACACGTTGAGGTTTCTGTTCACGTTCGTCCCCACACCAAGCAACCCCGAATTCCAAATATCAATTGTCACATTTCCTACTGAGTTTTTCTTTGAACTGCTTGCTTCTTCAACTTTAATAGTATCACATTTACTCGCCATTACAACACGTGTATCATAATTAGGGTTAGCATCACCTGTTTCTTTTTGCTTGGATAATTTTTAATTTAACTTTCTTTAAATCTGCTTGCGGACCACCTCTCCCATCACCGCGAACCACAGGTTGGGAAACGCTGGACTAACTCCATGGAACAGTGTCCCTTTATGTAATAATGCTGTATACATAACGTTGTCGTTATGTTTATTCATTTAAGATATATAGGGGAGTGGAGGTATAGCTCCACCATTCTTGACCTCGGCACTGGATGGTCTGGGCACTTTATCCCCCGTGGAGAGAGCCCCCGCTTCCCACCGGATAGGAAAAGCCTGGGTGGGCCCCACAGCCAGTCAGAACGCTGTGAAGAAAAGAAAAAATCTCTCTGGAGGGAATCGAACATCGGCCGACCTGCCCGTAGCCCATCGCTATACCGATTGAGCTAGATTGATATATGTTAATGGTGGAAGACGGGGTTCCATTACCGGCTTGGGAGAAGAAACAGTCTTCTTCACAGCGTCCAGATTGGCTCTGAGGCGCACCCATCCTTATATCCATTAGATTCTGAGGGTCGGTTTTCCTGGGGGGTGAAGAGGCCGAAGCGTGAAGCTGACCACTCACCTCAATCTAATGCGAAGCTCAAGAATGGTGACGCTATAC